ATTGGAAGTTCCTATTTAAGATAGTACCGGATGTTCTGGGCAGGGCAATCAGACAAGAGAAAGAAATAAAGGGTATTCAAATAGGAAGAGAGGAAGTCAGTTTATCTCTGTTTGCAGATGACATGATTGCATATTTAGAAAATCTCATCATTTAAGCCCAAAATCTCCTTAAGCTGATAAGCAACTTCAGCAAAGTCTCAGGATACAAAGTCAATGTGCAAAAAATCACAAGCATTCCTATACACCAACAATAGACAAACAGAGAGACAAATCATGAGTGAACCCCCATTCACAAATGCTGCAAAGAGAATTAAATACCTAAAAATACAACTTACAAGGGATGTGAGGAACCTTTTCAAGGAGAACTACAAACCACTGCTCAGGGAAATAAGAGAGGACACAAACAAATGGAAAAACATTCCATGATCATGGATAGGAAGAATCAATATCATGAAAATGCCCAAAGTAATCTATATATTTAATGCTATTCCCATCAAGCCACCATTGACTTTCTTCACAGAATTAGAAAAAACTACTTTAAATTTAACATGGAACCAAAAAAAAAAAAGCCCATATAGCCAAGATCATCCTAAGCAAAAAGAATAAAGCTGGAAGCATCATGCTGCCTGACTGAAAACTATACTACAAGGCTACAGTAACCAAAACAGCATGGTACTGGTACCAAAACAGATATATAGACCAATGGAACAGAACAGAAGCCTCAGAAACAATGTCACACATCTACAACCATCTGATTTTTGACAAACCTGACAAAAACATGCAATGGGGAAAGGATTCCCTGTTTAATAAATGATGTTGGGAAAACTGCTTAGCCATCTATAGAAAACTGAAATTGGACCCCTTCCTTACACCCTATACAAAAATTAACTCAAGAGGGATTAAGGACTTAAACATCAGACCTAAAACCATAAAAACCCTAGAAGAAAACCTAGGCAATACCATTCAGGACATGGGCAAGGGCAAAGACTTCAAGACTAAAACAGCAAAAGCAATGGCAACAAAAGCCAAAATTGACAAATGGGATCTAATTAAACTAAAGAGCTTCTGCACAGCAAAAGAAACTATCATTAGCATGAACAGGCAACATACAGAATGGGAGAAAACTTTTCCAGTCTATCCATCTGACAAAGGGCTAATATCCAGAATCTACAAAGAGCTTAAACAAATTTACAAGAAAAAAACAACCCCATCAAAAAGTGGGTGAAGGATATGAACAGATACTTCTCAAAAGGAGACATTTGTCACAACTGGTGAGGTGGGGATGCTACTGGCATGTAGTGAGGCTAAAGATACCACTAAATGGCTTAAGATGCTGCTAAATGTTCTGCAATGCACGGGACAGTCTTTCCTCACCTGCACCAAAAACATTATCCAGCCCAAAAGGTTAACAATGCTAAGGTTCAATAGCAAAGACGTAGAATCACTCTAAATGCCCATCAGTGACAGACTGGATAAAGAAACTGTGGTACATACATACTGTGGAATACTATGCAGTCATTAAAAATAATGAGTTTATGCCCTTCTAGGGACATGGATGGAGCTGGAGACTATTATCCTTAGCAAATTGACACAGGAACATGAAACCAAATACTGCATGTTCTTACTTATAAGTGGGAGCTAAATGATGAGAACACGTGGACACATAGAGGGGAACAACACACACTGAAGCCTATTGGAGGGTGGAGGAGGAGAGGAGGGAGAGGACCAGAAAAATAACGAATAACCTGGGTTAATATCTGGGTGATGAAATAATCTGTACAACAAACCCCCATGACACAAGTTGCCTATGTAACAAACCTTCACTTGTACCCCTAAACTTAAAGAAGTTTTTTTAAAAAAGTGTTAAGATAGACAAAGCCTGCACTAGACAATGTATACAGAGTCAGACCTTGGATAGAGATAAAACAAGAAGGAAACGCCAAAACTGTGGAATCTCTGGGTTCCTTTCATCACAAAATGTATAGAAGCCAAGAACATATAGGAAAATTGAGAAGAGTTAAGGTCTGCTCAAAACTGTATTGTTTGTACACTCACAGTTCATGGTCTCTCTGGCGATAAGAACTAGAAATGTTTGCAACAGCATAATAACAAGGAGAGCGCATAGTCATTGGAGGTGGGGTACATTTTGCTCTAGTTAGCTGCACTGCAGAGGAGGAGTTTGGGAGAAGTTTGTCCCTGAGGTCAAAAAAAAATTATGAAAGAGAAGATTATAACTTGTCTTTTAAAAGGCTAACTTGAATGCATATGCTAGAGCAGGGGGTCCCCGATCCCCAAGCCCTAGATAGGTACTGGTCTGTGGCCTGTTAGGAACTGGGGCTCAGAGCAGGAGGTAGCAGCGGGCCAGCGAGCATTACTGCCTGAACTCTGCCACCTGTCAGATCAGTGGCGGCATTAGATTCCCACAGGAGCGCGAACCCTCCTGTGAACTGCACCGTGTGAGGGATCTAGGTTGTGTTATCCTGATGAGAATCCAGTACTTGCTGATCTGATGTGGAGTAGTTTCATCCCAAATCCATCCCCCCACATAGTGGAAAAATTTTCTTCCATGAAACCAGTCCCTGGTGCCAACATGGCTGGAGACTGCTGTTCTACAGGGAGCCTCGGCATGTTGCTGACCTGTTGTTTCTCCCGCCGATTCATGTCAGTGCAGGGCGGTGGTTCTCAAAGTGTGGTCCCCAGAGCTGTGGCATCAGCAGCACCTGAGGACTTCCCAGAAATTCAGATTCTTAAGTCCCATTTCAGACCTGCTGATCAGAAGCTCTGGGGATGAGGCCCAGCACCATTATTATTATTACCATTACTACTGTTATTTTTGAGATTAAGTCTCACTCTGCCACCCAGGCTGGAGCACAGTGGCTCAGTCTCAGCACACTACAACCTCTGCCCCCTAGTCTCAGGTGAGCCTCTCACTTCAGCCTCCCAAGTAGCTAGGACCACAGACATGCACCACTACGCCTGGCTAATTTTTGTATTTTTTTGGTAGAGAGGCGATTTCGCCATGTTGTCCAGGCTGGTCTTAAACTCCTGGATTCAAGCGATCCACCCTGCTGAGCCTCCCAAAGTGCTGGGATTACAGGTGTGAACCACTGTACCTGGCGCCCAGCAGTATATTTTAAACAACCCCTCCAGATGACTCTGATGCATGCACAAAGGTAGTAACTAATATTGCTGCTTATCACTTTTTCCTCACCTGTTCCTCTAATTGAGGTCATGGCCTGGGCTAAGGAAAAGTTCATTTTATTGATTCTGTATAGGAGGGCTTGGGTTTGAAGCAATCAAAGCTGTTTCTTAGACTGTTTCCCCTGCAGATTCCATTGCCCTGTAGGCAATGATACCCTACCAAGAACTCTGCTGTCCTTTGCACACTTAATCCTCTCAACCCGCCAATGACAGTACAGTTGATATTATCAACTCAGTTTTAGAAGTTGGGAAACAGAAAACAAAGATTAACTTGCTTGGAATTATGCAGCTAGTAATTGTGGAGGAAGGAATTGAATCCAGGTCTACCCAGCCCATATTCTCTATCCTACACAACAGTGGACTTCTGATGCCGAAAGCACTTTGTTGAGAATGACCAACTTCCTTTAAGTAAAAGCCCTGGTGTCCTTCATTTTAGTAAGAAAACCAGATACATTATTGTCTTAGAGTATGCAACATTAGGTTATGACCTTTATGGTTTGTTTACTTAGGGCCTGTATTAGGGTAAAGTCTACTTCCTTCGCCAGGAAACATTATTTCTTTTTCATTTGGGAGTATTGGCAGTATTGTGAGAGAGCGTAACATTGCTATTGGTTTGCACAGTAGTGCTGAAAGGCACTGGGATAGATTTAACAAGTGTCTCCTTATGTCTTCTAGTCTTTACAGAAGCTTAGCAAGTGAATTTAGAATATGTTCTGAAAAGAGTTTTTCATAAAGTTTTCTCTTCTCAATGTTAAAAATGAGTCCTATGAGACCCCTGTTCAACTTTTAGTTCAAAAAGAGAACTTTTTTGGCCCGGCGTGGTGACTCATGCCTGTAATCTCACCACTTTGGGAGGCCGACATGGGCAGCTCATTTGAGGTTAGGAGTTCTCGACCCGCCTGGCCAACATGGTGAAACCTCGTCTCTACTAAAAATACAAAAATCAGCCAGATGTGGTGGCGCACACCTGTAATCTCAGCTACTCGGGAGGCTGAGACAAGAGAATCACTTGAACTTGGGAGGCAGAGGTTGCAGTGAGCCGAGATTGTGCTCCAACCTGGGCAACAAAGTGAGAGCTTGTATCAAAAAAAAAAAAAAGAGAGAGAATATTTTTTTTGTGGAACTATAAGGAATTCAAGTACCTGATATGATGGGAATAAAGGAAACTTGGGACGGATACTTGAACTGCACAGGTGACTCCAATTAGAAAAAGACAAAGGGTGGCCAGGCACTGTGGTTCCTGCCTGTAATCCCAGCACTTTGGGAGGGCAAGGTGGGTGGATCATTTGAGGTCAGGGGTTTGAGACCAGCCTGGCCAACATGGAGAAACTCTGCCTCTACTAAAAATACAAAAACTAGCCAAGTGTGGTGGCAGGCACCTGTAGTCCCAGCTACACCAGAGGCTGAGGCAGGAGAATTGCTTGTACCCAGAAGTGGAGGTTGCAGTGAGCTCAGATTAAGCTACTGCACTCCAGCCTGGGTGACAGAGTGAGACTCTGTCACAGAAAAAGAAAATGAATGAATGAAAGAAAGAAAGTAAAGAAAAGAAAAGAAAAGGAGAAAGACAAAGGGTAAAATTGTGGTGGAAGAAGAATGAGCCAAGATCTGTGGAGAGGATTTCATTCTTCTAGGAGACCATCAAAGGAGTTCAACAGAAATGCAATGGAGAAAATGAAATACATTCAAACTCTCTTTCCTTATCTGCTTGAAATATTCCACATAAGCTTGACAATAGTACAGTGTGTTTTTGCAGATGTGCGCTCTATGGGATGTTGTGTTTTTCTCGTGTTAGTACATACCAGTTACTCGAAGTTTATCTGTACCAACCACAACTTCCTTCTCGTCCACAGTAAATAGTGGCTTGCCGTTGTTGGAGTTGATCTGAAACTGTTGACTCTGGACTTCTACCATTTTGGGACCTGAAGAATTAATTAAAACAGTTTATTATAAACTGTTCTCTACAAGCAGTGTGAAAATCTCTAATTTTACACATGTCATGTCACCGAACAATATCAAATAACTAAAGATTTGGTTTTTGCTACCACTAGGGATATTGATTGACTCTGTGATTAAACTTTGCAACTTTTAAGTCTAAATCTATTGTATTATTAAAATTAATTTACGTCAAATATATGTTAACCTATATCAACAAATGTACAAATACATTATTTAAGAGCTTCTTCTTCAAGATTTTAAATACTTGCCCTAAATAGTTCTCCTATTCATGGTTGAACTTGTATTCTTTTGGTTATTAACCACCTAAGAATCTTGCATTCTGAAATGTGAGATTTGTGAAAGACCATCTTACAAATGGCTCACTTTAACAGTGAAAGTTAAGCCAGAAGATGAATTATATCCCAAATCTCTTCTCTGCCATTATTCTCAGAAGAGCTGCTGGCCCCTTACTCCACAGGGAAAACAGGTGTCACTGTGGAAGAACACCTTCCTGTTTTTGCCCTTCCCCTAAGAAATGTTTGTGTTTTCCGATGTGCCTTATGTTTCACTTTTGGGTCCTAGCTTACTCCCTTCACCTGAGCTCTAGACCCATTTCTTTCCAGCTTTTTCATCTTTTCAGCAGGCGTTTTGTGGGTGCCCGCTCACGCTGTGACGTTCAGGCGTGTGAGGGTGAGCTCATGAACACTTGGCACTCATCGTATGTGTTCCCCAATTCTTCTTTGATGCTTCCACACTTGCTAACCCAGGCGGGCTCATGGATTCATCTCCCTAGAGCACAGCCTTCATCATCTACTTAAGAAACCATGAGTTCCCCAATTTGTTTATGTTAGCTTTATACTCTTTCTGTAAAAGTAAGTTGAGGCTGGGTGCTGTGGCTCACGCCTGTAGTTCTAGCACTTTTGGAGGCTGAGGGGGACTGATCACCTGAGGTCAGGATTTGAGACCAGCCTGGCCAACATGGAGTAACCCCATCTCTACTAAAAATACAAATATTAGCTGGGTGTGGTGGTGTGCACCTGTAATCCCAGCTACCCAGGAGGCTAAGGAAGGAGTATCGCTGGAACTCAGGAGGTGGAGGCTGCAGTGAGTAGAAATCACACCACTGCACTCTAGCCTGGGCTCCAGAGTGAGACTCCATCTTAAACAAACAAACAAACAAACAAATAATAAGTAAGTAGAGAAAGTAAGTCATATCTTGTAAGTTTTGTGTGTATGTCTCTTTGACCTTAACAGTTCTCATAAAAATTTTTGAATACCTGGTAGAAATTAAGTAAAGGCTTTCTATTAATGTATTGATCAGTTTTGGACATGGTCATCCAAGTGTTCTTACATAATTTTATTAATCTGTATTTAAAACTCTCCAGTGAGTCTTCATTTAAATAAATAAATATTTTTGGTGAGAGTTCCGGTTATAAAGCTTACTTTTTTCTCTACATTATATCTTCTTTTCTTTACTTTCTTTTTTTTTTTTAGGCTTCACTTTATTTTTTGGTATTTGTATGTTTCTCTCCTTCATCTGAGACTCAGAGTTCATTTTACCTCTTCTAGGTCACTGATATGCCTAGGTATTTATTATATAAATGCTGATTTGCATTTAATGGTGACTATGAAGTTATCCGACTTTCAAATTGAGAAATAACTGGAATAATTAATTCAGTAAGAGTTCATTGTTTTGCTCACCAGTGGCTCATCTTACAATTCTAGGAAGCCTTAAGTATAAGGGGTTGAACTAAGTGACATATTTTTTTTTCTATAGCTATTATATCAATAAGATATTCAAGAAATAAATTTAGTTTCAGAGCAAGTCTGAGTAGCAGTTTGATTCTGTGGTCCACTAAAAAGAAAAGCATGTGAGCTTGGTTTCACAATTTGCTAAGTGCTGGGATGCAGGCATGAGAGGGTCTTGACTAGGAATTCATGGTCCATCCATCGAGGCTGAGAGCAGCGTCCGGAGATGCTGATGCCTGAAGCGGCAGGAAAGAAAGAGCTCATGCTTTCCTGTTGAAGGAAGAACAGTGACCTCCAGGTAAAGGAAACCACTTGAGCGAAGGCAGAGCGGTGAATAAAATCCCATCTTCATTTTATTAAAAATAGACTCTGTGTATTCAAATTTAAATATGCTTTCCACTTCAGAGGAAGGTGTACTGTTCTTCGACAGTTATGGAGTTTGTAATTAATTTCTAACTTTTATTAATATGCTAGCAGTTTTTCTAATTGGACATGGATTAGTGCTGAGGATGTAATCGTCTTTTGCAGTCGAGGTCTTTAAGAAATAAAATACAAATTCTACCTTGTTGATAGGAAAAGAGTTATCTGTACAGCACCATTTTTAATGAAAGGCTTTGGTACAAAGAAGAAAAGTTAATGGTTTTGTGATCTGATTAATTAAGTTTGGGAAATTAGCTTAAGGGTTTTTCTAGTGAAAATACCATCAAATTCTTCCTTACATACAATGAGTCTCATTAGCAACTTTCTTTTGTTCCTCGGAGTATCTTTAATTTAAAATGAAATCATTTAGAAACAAATATCACAAAGTCCTTTAAGAAAAGGAAACGTATATTCTGCTGTTGCAAATATGGTATCACAGGGAAAGGATTGGAATCGAAGTGCAAAACTGTGCTTGTTGGCTCTACCCCTGGCATAATCTTGTATTATACAGTTCCACTTTATAAGCCTGGCACTAATGACCTTTACTTGTGTTAAATAAACTAAAATAAAATAAGAGACCAGGCTTGAGAATTCCCTGATCAGACAAAGCTAGTTATGCTATGCCAGTGAAACTTAGGTTATTTCTAGTAAACGTCCCTGAAAATCATAAGCAAAACTTATGTAGCCTTCCGAAAGCGCTGTAAGATGATGACTTTTCTATTTATTTATTTTTTGAGACAGAGTCATGCTCTTTCACCCAGGCTGGAGTGCAGTGGCATGATCTCAGCTCACTGCAACCTCCGCCTCCCAGGTTCAAGTGATTCTCCTGCCTCAGCCTCTCTAGTAGCACCCACCACCATACCTGGCTGATTTTTGTATTTTTAATGGAGATGGAGTTTTGCCATGTTGCCCAGGCTGGTCTTCAACTCCTGTCCTCAAGTGATCCACCCACCTCAGCCTCCCAAAGTGCTGGGATTACAGGCATGATCCACCGTGCCCAGCCAGATAGCCACTTTTAACCATCTGGAAAACCTCACTGTAATAACCAATCATTGTAAAGGTTAAACAACCTCCTCATTTTTGCCATATATATATACATATATGTATACATATATACGCATACATATATACACACATATATGTATGCATATATATGTATACATATGTATACATATATATGTATATATAACACACGTACATATGTATACATATATATACACACACATATATACATACACACACACACATATATATATATATATATATATATATATATGCCAGCCTATAGTGCCTGAGTTTCCTCTTACCATAAATTTAAGCCTCCTGGTTTGAGAACTGTTTTTCATATGCACAATAAGCTTTTAAATTTAAAATTTGATTTGATTGATTTTTGACCTCAGTATGGCCCGATTCCGTTCTTTCTGGTCAATCTGTCACGTCCATGTACATGAGTCATGGACCTACAATGACTAGGCAAGGGCCCCATGCTGTTCATAGCAAATGCCTTGGATGGATCCCCTTTTCTTATTCCAGGCTGACTTTGTTGAAGTTCTGCCATCTGTCTTGGCTGCTAAACTGTGGCTGTGTTTCCCACTTATGATGATCTCTGTGACCCACTGGACCTTTGAGGCCATGACTCCAGCTTGGGCTTGGAACTTTTTCTACTTTAGACCATCCTTGATAGGCCATCTTACCTCATCCATCCATTACACCACTATCCGAACTGCCAGCTGGGTTCTCAGCCCATCCCATCCTACACAATCTTTTATTCGTTCCTCTCTTCATTTATTTAACAAATATTTATTGTGTAGCCTATTAAATATAAAAGGGAAGCCTGAATTATGAATTGTGGCATTAACTGAATTGAAAAAATTCTAATTCCAGTGAGTGAATCAAATTATTATACATGTATTTCTTGAAATATTACATAGCCTTAAAATAATGTTATGAATTTTTTTATAATTTCATAGTGGTATTAAATTGGAAAAGGGTGAACTGCTGGGTGGCTGATTACCATGCTGGCTCTATAGTAATCAGTTTCCCAAAAGCTCATCCCTAAACTCTAAGGAATAGCTTCATAGCTATAAAAATTCCACATAAACCACACCCTTGCATTACTTAAAGGTAGAACTGTGAGTTGAGGGAGAAAAATTAACAAGTGGTGGGACTAGAACTGCACACACACCTGCTCTATCACAGGTTATGGTGAGCGAAGGCCATGCGGGGGACAGCTGAGGGGCCTTAGTGAGAGGCCACTTAGGAAATGGACAAAAGTAATGCAGGTAATGAATGCTAAATGAGCTGGGATAAAAATCCTGATATCAGATAAAGTGAAATTCAACTCAAAAGCATTAGATAGGACAACAAAATTTAACGCTAAACTTACAACCCACAGCACAGACATATCCCCCAAATATCATACCAACTACCTTTATGAAACAAAAATTAAAAATGTGAGGACCCATACAACACACTGATAGCACTAGATTTAATACATCACTTTCAGTACAAGACAGGTCAAGTGACTAACAAATAAGTGATGAAGTGGTCTAAAAAGAACTCAACAAGGCAACTCTTACGACATAGACTGAACATGAAGCTCTTATAATGGAGCATACACATTCTCCTCAAGTGCCCGTGGCACATTTACTGAAACCGATCACATATTAGGGCACAAGGTAAACATCAGTGACTTTCATAACATAGAAAGACCACAAATAATACTCCCCAAACACAATGCAATAAATCTAGAATTTGCTGACACAAATAAAAAGAAAAGTCCATTCACCCAGAAATTTAAAAGTCTCTTTTAAAA